TAAAAATCTTGTTTGTTTTTAAATATGTGGGTATATTTACTGTTTTAAATTTCCTGCGATACACCCTGCATCTGCGTTCTACAGACTTCTATGTAGAGTTCTTCCTTGTCATTCGGTTCTCATTGTTTATAATCTCCATTACAATTTCTTCCAGCCCCATGAATTATTTAAGTGTTATGTAGTTTCCAAATGTATGGGTGCATTTTAGCTGACTCCAAAGCTTTCTAAATTCATTGTCAGCTGCTTGTTTTCTAATCTTGGAAATTTTGCAAGACTTCCTTTGTGAATCACTCCACATGTGCCTGATTTAAAAGCATACATGTGTGTTCAAAAAGAATGTGTCCTCTGTATTAGTAGGAGCATGGGACATACAATAATATGTACCGAGGTATGTCTACTATGGTGTTTCAATATTGTTTTATTCTTACTGATATTTTGAAAGCTTAATTCCTCTTTAGCAAGAGAAGTGGAGCAGTTTCTGACTCTGGATCTGCCGACGTCTTGCAGTCCTGCCAACTTTTTGTCTCGTGTGTTGGGACGATGTTGAGAGATGTGTGTGGGTTGAGCATTACTGACCTTCCTAGAGAGTTATTGCTTTTATCATATAAAATAGTCTTTTTCATCTCTAGCAATACTTTTGCCTTAAAATCTGTGTTTTTCTAACATTTATAAGACATCCAACTTTCTTTTCTTTAGCAACTGACTGTATCTTTTCCTGTCTCTTTGCTTTCGGCCTGTTTCCTGGGTTTGGGTGTCTCACCAGGTGCATGGAGGGAGCACTGGTGACAGTGTGCAATGAGCACGTTTCCTGCTGAGGTGAAAGTGGGCTTACGTTTGCCCCTTCCCTCTGGAGGCCTATGTTCCCATGTTTCCCCTGGGCTGTGTCTCAGGGGCCCATCCTGCTGCGGCTGCTCCCTCCTTCCTACCTCAGGGTCTGTGGCTCAAGGCCCTCAGTCCTCTGGAAGGACCTGAAGAGGATCGGCCACAGTCAGACCCTCCTCTTTGTGGAGGAGTGTGGTCCTTCCCTGTCTCTCTTGGGGGGGTGGTGAGCTGTAAGTACCACCGTCACCGAAGACACCTCCCAAACCCCATGCCCCCCTCCTCTTTCAGCTCTGCTGCGTTGTGAGTGTGTGTCGGCTAAAGCTCGAGGCTGGGTCTCGACCATTTCCTTTGTGAATCTGGCACTTCATTTAGGATTTTCACATTGATTTCAACTGAGGTCAAAACTAGAATTTTAGGATCTGTGGTAGTTAAAAAAAAATCTGTCTTTAGAAATGTGAATCTAATTCATTTACATTTATTGTGTCTATTGATACATTTGGGCTTGTTTTTAACATGCGTTTTGGTTCTGTTTTCTATATACTATCATTTTCCTTGTTGTTTTTTTCTTCCCTGACTTGGCTGGACTGGAAGTTTTCTTTATTTCCTTGTTCAACCTTTTGAAATCTAAGTATTCTTTATTGGCATTTTAAGTGGTCACCTATAGCATTTAACAAGTGACTTACTCTATATTTTTCACAAACAAAATAGGAGTCTAGGAAGACTTTAATTTTCCTCTGAAATTCCTGCTTCTTTTTCTCCCATGTTATTAATCAGAATTTTAATACCTGTTATTTTAAAAAATAATTTGTTGCTCATCATCATTATTTTTTTATAATGAAGATATAACCTGGGTTGTTTATAACATTTAAAGTTCAATATTGAATAACATTTTTAATTATTTGTTCACTGAACTTTATTACACTCCTTTGTTGTTGGGGGATTCATTTTTTCTTTGTGTTAAAGTTCATTCTTCAGCAGTTAATGCAAGGGTCTAGACAGTGGAAATCAGACTCATATTCACATTAGAAAACTTCCAAACCCCAGGCTCACTTCAGTTAGACCCCAGTGTTTTAGTCAGCTTTTTCACTGTGTGACTAAAGGATGTGACAAGCACAATTTTAGAGGAAGAAAAATATAATCTGGGGCTCATGGTTTCAGAAGTCTCCGTCCATAGACAGTAAACTCCATTCCTTGGGGCTCAAGGTGAGGCAGAACATCATGGCGCAAGAGTGTGGTGGAGGGAAGCAGCTCAGGACATTGCTGAGGAAGCAGAGAGAGAGCTTCCCTCAACAAGGACAAATAAGTACCCCAAAGGCACGCCCCAGGGACCCGCCTCCTCTAGCCACACCCCACCTGCCTGCGTTTAACACCCAGTTAATCCCCACCCGGGGATCAACACACTTACTAGGTTGAGGCTCTAGACTTGCTGCAGTGGCTCACACTGGGGCTCTGGGAGGACACCCATATTTCAACCATGATACCCCATCTTTGGGGTGAGTGCAGACCTCACACTGAATGAGGCTCCCTAGGCGACCCCACACGTGGACACGTGGGGACTGCTGTCGTGTCACAGTGAACACTCCCGTCTCTGCGTGTTTAAATATGTCTACAGCAGCTGACTTGAGCATAGGATTCCAAGCTGATATCAGGTTCTTTCCTCAGCATTTTGAATCTGTTACGGAAAGACTCTTTGGCATATTCCAAAGCCTCCGCCGCTGGTCTTTGGTTTCCTTCAGGTTTTATGAATGTTTTGCCTTTCCCTGGTGCTTCTCACCCTGCGTCTCTTCTGGATGCTTCTCATCTCTCTGTGAGCTTCAGCTTGATCCCTCGTTTTTCAATTATGGTGATTTTCTGCTGTTATCCACTTAAATGCTCCCATATCGCATTTCATTCACTTTCTCCTTCCAGAACTCCTCTTATATGTCTCTTAAAGACATCCAGCCAATCTTTCATGTTTCATCATTCTATGCTGCGTTCTGGGTGATATCCTTAGATCTGTGTTCTAATTCATCGATTCTCTCTTCATTTATGTCTAGTATACAGTTTAAGCCACCTACGGATTTTTTTTGATGATTATTTATTTCAGTAACTGTGCTTTTCAGTGCCAGGATTTCCAAATGGATCTTTCTTAAACCTAAAATTTCTGTTCCACATAATAATTGCTATTCATTCTGTTGCCATGAAGTCCAACAACTTAATTTTAGAATTCTTTTTAAGTCATTCCATTTTCTCCTAATTTCAATAAATATGAATTCTCCAGTGAGTGGTTCTTTTAATTACCTATGGCAATAGATTTTGTTAAGTGTTTTATACTTTTATTTAAAAGTTTACTATGCCTGGGACCCAGGTCCTTGAGCAAAATTGTGTTTAATTGTGTAACTACAGATAGCTGTGAGCAAGCCCCAGAAAAAGATAAAGTTTAATATCTAACAACTTTATTAAAAGCAGAGCTTACACAGGTGTATAAAGAAAAAAGTGAGTCCCAGAAAATTCAAAACGGGGCCTAGACAGGTTGCCTGTTTCAGAGAGTGTTTCATAACCTGATTATTCAACCTCAAATGTAGTGAAGAATTGCAAAGTAAATTAAGATAACAATATCATCTTCACTCATTAAGTTACAAGATCTCAAGAGATGTTAACGTTTAGTGAGACAGGCTGTCTTGCACTGCGGCAGGAAGGCAGCTTTCGGGAAGTGTGGGGTGGTGCAATGAGGATGTCACAAGCCGACTCGGCGTTCCCCAAGTGCTGGTCTGTGTACGTCACAGGTGTGAAACACGTGCAGAGACCAAGATTGCTGTATCTCCATGTATTCATACATGGATGGTTAATTACATTACCATACATTTTGCTTCCAAATAGTTTTATTGAAGGAGGAAAAATGTTCCCAAATACAGAATTGTAAAGTAAAACAAATGGAATGTTAACAAGGCAAGAATGTGCCCAGAGCATCATCTGGACAGAGCTACATGCACACATCAAGAGTGACTTCTCTGATGGTGAGACTGGGGGAAATCATTTTTTTATGTCTCTTTGTACTTTCATGTACTTTCCAATTTTTTTTTTTACAAGGTGACATTATTACTATAATCAATCTAAAATGCTTACATGATGGGAACCCAAGCCTGGCCAGGGTGGACGCTCTCACAGGCCCATGCCAGTCTTCTGACCCAGTCTTCAGACAGCTGAGTGGCCCTGGCCCACTTCCACCTGTCCCGGCAGCTTCTCTCCCTCCAGCCCAGCTGAGCGGGTCGTTTCCTGCTGTCCTCGTAGACACACGGCTGATGAACCCCAGCTTCTCAGGCAGCTGGTTCCTTGGGCCCTCTGCCTCAGGGGAAGTCCTCTGGTCGGAACCGTGGAGACAAATTTGGTGATATTGGTTAGTGACTTTACTGTAAAACTGCCTTGGAGAGCTCCTGGCTCTGGACAGCACAGATGCTGTTTAGTTTCAAATCTGAAAAGCCTGGACAGTGTGCAGCCAGTGTGTTTGGCCCCCGGGGGACGTTTGGCAGTACATGGAGACATTGCTGATTGTCACAGGGGCAGGGGTATGCCACCGGTGTCTGGTGAGTCGAGGCCAAGAATGATGCTAACACCTCACAAGGCACATGCCCCACAACACAGGATTGTGAGACTCCAATGCGAGGGGTACCAGGACAGACACTGGCTTAGACATGCAGGGATTTATAAGCTCTTGTTTGCAAAACTTATAAACCTTTATAATTGTTTTTAGCTCTTTAGTACAGGAAGAGTATTATCGATGATTTTTATGCCAACACATAATACTTAAATTGATTTATTACAAGCAATTTCAAAATGTGCTTTGTTAATAAAAATAATGGCGTTGAATAGCTTAAGAAGCTACTGCCAGCTTCTGAGGACCGGAGAGGTGTTGGTGTGAAGGCTAATGGGAGTGGAACGGCATGCTGGGAGGTTGTCTGGGGGTCTCTATCAGCCCCTCCTGGAGTGAGGGTCCTCAGTCTCTGGCAGCCTGACCCCCAGCCTGGCCCCCCACCTTCACTCCCTGCTCTGGCCCATCCTGCAAGGATCATCAGAGAGACACACAGCAGGCTCACGCAGAGGGCCCTCCACAAGGGCAAAGTGAAGACACATGTTCTGTCTTTGTTCAAAACAGTAACACATGAGAGTCGGCCTGATTTACGTCATTTTGTTTCCGTTAGCAACAGCCTCTGCATGAAGCCATGGGCGGCCTGGAGATGCCTTAGGAGGGCGGCCTGGAGATGCCTTAAGAGGGCCGCCTGCCCTGTTCCGGGGTCGGGAGATGACCTGGCTGTGGGAAGAGCCCTTGGGAATCCACTGTGCAGCTCTGAGACACCGCAACTCTCGCCTTGATCTCTCCATCTGCCAAACAAAGAGATGGTGCCCGAGACTCCCCTGGTTTCCCGGCCTCTACAAAGCCAGGGTTTGGAGCACGATATAAAAACGGCAAGACAGGCGCTGTCAATCAGCCGCGGGACCCGGCAGAGCACTGTTCCTCTTCACAGTTGGAGATGGATTCAATTTTCTTTCCACAGTTTTTCTGAAACCAAAGTGGCCTGACTCATGAGTTAATATGGGCTTATTTGGGATGATCTTAGAAGGCAAACAAGTTCAAAGAATCGTTTGATAGGAAATGAAACCAGAAGTCAGTTGCATATGGATGTTGGAAATAAATTTATAAATTAAGAGTTATGTTAACTTTCTTTTCTGCCCAGTGTTTCTTTAAAAAAAAAAAAGCGGGGGTGGGGGGAGGGTACTTTAGAATAAAAGAATTTGAGCTCTTCACATTCAGTTGCTGAATTTTTATTTAATTAATAACTGTCGTTGGCCATTTTTCATCTGGTAAAGTAACCTAACCAGGAAACAATCAGGAAAACATTACTCTGCATATTGCCAATAAATTAGAGTTTAGCAACTGAAGACATCTGAGTTTGGTTGTCCTTGATCTTTTCATGGACCATTAGGAATAATTTCCACAGGGTTCTCGCAGGTGGAGGGAAAAGCTGGGAATGCTAAGACTTTGAGCCAGACCAGGACGGCAGAGTGGGGAGTTGGCTATGCTCTGACTGATTCCCCAGCAGGACTGAGCTCAAGTTCACCCCCACGTGGAAAGGCTGGCCTCCCGGACTGCTGAGGTCCTTCCAACCCGTGGACACCTCTAAAGGTGGGTGTTAGGTCTGTGGACCGGGTGTTTGGTTCTTTGGGGCTGCTTTGGGATACATGGCAGAATGAAGAATTGTAGGCCACCCGCAGACCTGCCCTGGGGTGCACACCGGGGCATATCATGTGCCACAGGGAATACAATGGGTCTCACCCCCACAATTAGGTGATTATGCAGCATGGTTGACTGAGGAAGGAGAATTGGCCGAGCCAGGCTCGTGGCGAGATCTGAGTCTGGAAGTCGGAGCCAGGGAAAGCCGGAGAACTGAAGAACGAACAATTCGGAGCGCCCAGCAAGGCTTCGGGAGTTGAGGAAAGACCCCAGCTGTGACCAGCAAGGAGACGAGACCCCCATCACCCAGCCGCAGGGACTGAGTTCTGCCAACATCTCAATGAACACAGAAGAGGCTTCTCCCCCAATCCAACCTCCAGATAAGATCCTAGCCCAGCTGAACCCAGTCACGCCGCTAGGCTTCTCCCCTGCGGAGCCGTGAGCTCACACAGTTTGTGGTGATTTGTAGACAACAGTGAAAGCGAAAGCAGCACCGTGTACCTGGGATGCCTGAACACAAGGTTCAGGTTCGGAGATGTTAGGAAACACCAGCCCCCACACCAGGGCGTCTCCATGCTGCAGTCGGGGGGTCCCGAGGTCGAGCTCCTCACAGGACTGTTCAGTCCACCCTCGGGTCCTTAGAGTCCTCGCTTGGGATGGTGGGAGGCGGCTGTGCCTCGAGATGGGGGATATCGACTCTGCTCTCCCAGCTGTGCCATTGCTGAGCACCAGGTGACCCCTCCCCTTGCCTTGGGGCCCTAGTCTGACCAGCCGAATACGATAACTGAATCAGGTGATGTCTGAGGATAAGGGCTCATGTGGACTGTTAGCTTCTGTGGTCATCTGTGTCCTCCTCCCCAGGTGGTCCTTGCCTAAACGGCTGGAACACGAGCTGAGGGCAGCGTTGGACAGCAGTGACGTTTGGCCCGTTCCTAGCTCATTCCCCGTTGTGTCCCTATATGGCGTATAAGCCAGTGAGTGTCCTGGCCGAAACATGGCCATCAACTACAGCATATGGAAGGAAGAGGAGAGAGAGCCAGCTGGGGCCAAGGCCGCCGTGGTAGACGCTCTTCCCTCTGGGAGAAACACTCGAGGAAAACCCCGTACGGCTCTCGGCTTCCCAGGTTTCGGTCCATGGCCGGCTGGTCCCAAGGCAGAACTGCGTGGCCAGCAGAAGGGTACGGCCGAGCAAAGCAGTTTACCTCGTGGCAGCCGGCAGCCGGGAGGCAGAGAGGGGGCGGAAGGGGCCAGGGACGAGAGTCAGTGCTCACGGGCACACCCCAGTGACCTGCTCCTGCTCACTATGCCCCTCTCCTCCAGGCCCACTGCCTCCCAACGACGCTGTCCACGTAGGAACCTATCAGTGAGTAATCTGGGATGATGTTAGAACCCTCACGGTCCATCCATTTCCTTAAAGGTCCACTTCTGAACATTGTCACAGTGGGAACCAAGCCCCCATTCGTGAGCCTTGGGGGACATTCCAGATAGGAACCCTAACAGGCATGGACCAGGGTGGTGATGTCACTGAAGGAGGTGGAGACTTATAACCCCCCGCAGGGACAGGACACCGAGGACTGACCTGTGGTGGTCTCTCTTATCTGCCACAGTTCCCCTGCCTGCCAAAGCACGCCACCACACTAGGGGACAAACTCCTCCCATGGTGTGGCCCTGCTAAACCCCGTAAAACACAGACACTTGTTGTAGCCGGTGGCCATTTTCTTCTTGAAAACGTGCTGAATAAAGCAGCGCTGATCCGTTGAGGTCTGTCTCGGTCACTTTTTGTATTCTCCGTCACTTGCCTTCAGTTGTGACCAGCTCAGGCTCTTCCCAGGAAGCTGGGCGGATAGGGCTGGAGCGAGGCACTGGTCCGGAGGCAGGAGGGCACCCAGTGTTCGAGGCACAGCGAGGCCCTGCAGGTACTCTGGGTGAAATAAGGCCTCGAAGTAGCAATCATTCAAACGGGTCTTTCATCTGCCCCCTCCTCAGGAAACTCATTCCCTAGCGAGTAAGTACGGGCCTGGCAACCTGACCCATGCCCACATTTGTACTTGGCCTCAGAATTTCCCCTGCCTCAAGTCCAGCGCAAGAGGGTCAGAGATGACCTAAGCCGTAGTGCTGCCATCGCTGCTAGACCTGGGCAGCTTCCCCCCATTTCCACCTGTTTCCAGTTTTTCTAATTGTGTCCAACTGAGCCATTGGTAAGTGTGCAGTGACAATACGGACCTTTACACTGTCATGCAGCCAGCATCTCCGGAACCCGCACAGCTGAGACTCTGGCTCCAGTAAGCCCTACCTCCCTCCCCAAAGCCTCGGGCACCACAAGTCTGACTCCTCCAGGGTCAGGCACAGGCAAGCTTACAGCTGGCTGAGGTAGGTCGCTCAGCACCATGCCCTCGAGGTTCATCCATGTTGTACAATCAGAGGTCCTTCCCTTTGGGACTGAGTGACACACTACTGTGTGTACTTGCCACCTGGTGCTTATGCCTTCACACCTGGACCAACACCGAGTTCCTCCACCTTTTAGTGATGGAGTGCCGCTGCCGTGCACGTGGTGTTGATTCCGTTTTTATTAAACACATATTTACAAGGCACGCATCTCACGGGTACAGCTCAAGGAATGTGTATCACAAGAACACATCCATACAACACCCACCCAGATCAGGACACGGGATGCCACTGACACCCTAGGGTCCCTTTCTGTCCTTCCCACTCACTCGGCTGTATCCCCCTCCCCAAGGGCAACTGGCATGCTGACCTCCAGCCCCACCTGCTGGTCAGATCCATGCTGGATATCTGCATGAGTGGAATCCTACAGTCTATGCGTCTGGCGCCTGGCGTTTACCCAGTACTCGTCTGTGACATCCAGCCATGTTGACGCAGGGAGCAGGGACCACTCATGCCCCTTGCTGTGGAGGAAGTGCTCCGGTGTATAGAAACAGCTCCTTTTCTGACTCCAGGTGTGAGGGGTGTTTGGTTTGTTCCAGCTCAAGGCTCCCACTGAGAAAGCCCGAGTGAGTGTTTTGTACGAGTTGTTGGTGCAGCTCTCTTGGGTCTGTGCTAGGAGTGGAATCGCCAGCTTGTCAGTGTGCAGTAGCTTTCTAGATACCGCCAACTAGTTGTTCAAAAGGGTCATTCCATTTGTAGCCCTTTCAGCAACACTGCAGATGCTCCTAAATTGTGGGTCTCCTGGTGACTATTGGTGTCATCTCACTGCGATTTCAGTGTCCACTGCTCACTGACTGAAGGCCATCTTCGCCCCCTCTTATGCTTATCGGCTCCTGCATTTCCTCTTTGAGGTGCACGTTTTCAAGTCTCTTGCCCACCTCAAAATCTGTTGGTCCTTTTCTTCCCTGTTTGTAGGACTTCAAGAACATTTCTTGGGTATAAGACCTTTATAATTTATATGGATTTAAAATATTTCTCCCCATATTGTGTGGCTTGAATTTTTACTATTTACTATTTTTTACTATATAAATATTTATTTATGTCTGAACAAAAATTTTCAATTTTGTTGTAGTCCAACATATCAGTGTTTTCCTTTATGGTTAGCACTGCTTTTTGTATCCCGTTTAAAGAATATTTGCCCAACACACTTTTAAGAATGCATTTTCTTATGGTAGATTCTAAAATCTTCACTGTTCTATCTTTCCCTTATGGGTCTACAATTTGCATGGAATTATTATTATTATTTTTGCATGGTGTGAGGTACAGGTGTAGATTCTTTTCTTTTCTCCATGTGAATATTTAGTTGATTAGTGCTATTTATTTTAAAGATAAGTCTTTTGCCAATTCATTGCAGAGCTACCACTGTAAGGTCAAGTTTATTATGTGTATGTCTCAATCTTTCTGGACTCTCTGTTCACTGATCTATGTTTATTTTATTTTATTATATTATATCTTATCCTTTTCTCAATTCATCTAACTTGATCATTATAATTTTATTATATCTGGTAGTGTAAGTCCTTCAGTTTTATTTTTCTTCAATGTTATCTTATCTACTTGTGACCCTTTATCTATTCATATACATTGAAAAATAATTTCTGTTAAGTTCCTCACCAAAAACGTGTTGAGGTTTTGAACAGGATTATATTGAATTTTAGATCAAAGAACTGACATCTTTTATAATATTGAATCTTTCAATCCATGAACATGGTACATCTCCCATCTATTTAGATTTTTCATAATTACTTTCAACAATACAGTGTAGGGTTCTTTCTAGGTGTTTTAGGATACTAAAAGTTATTGTAAGTAGTATCATTTTAATTTCAACTTAGAATCCTTTGCTGCTTGTATTAATACATAGAATTATTCTTGTTTACTTAAACTTTGTAATTAATTTTTTTTAATAGTTCGAAATTAGTAGAATAGTTTTTCCCTGTATATATAATCAATTCTTGCAAATAATAAGTTTAATTTTCTACTTCCAATTTATATATCAATAATGATCTGCCATATTTCCAAGAGAATATATTACTG